ACAAAAAAGTGTCACATTGATGCACAGTTTACCTGTGTATGTGCCTGAGAGTGTGTCTGACAGGGAGTATCCTTGTGTGTGTGAATGTATGTCTCTGTGAGCATGTTTGCATTTTTGTCTGAGACCCTATGTGTATGGGGTAGCAGCTTGAAGTGTGTATGGGGGGGGGGTGGTGATGGTGAGAGGGAGAGGCGGGTGATTGTGAGTAGGGGGTTATGGTGTGAGAGGGAGGTGATGGTGAGAGGGGGGTGATGGTAATGTGAGAGTGAGCGGGGATGTGAGAGGGAGGGGGTAATGTGGAAGGGAGTAATGTGAGAGGGAGGGGGGGTAATGTGAGAGGGAGGTGGGTGACTTGAGGGGGGTGATGAGGAGGGGGGGTCACCGGAGAAGAAAAGGGGGGGGTGCATGGCGGAAGGAGGGGGTTGATGGTGAGAAGGAGGGGGCCTATGGCCCCACCGGTGAGGGAGGGGGGGTTGATGGTGAGGGGCGGGGATGGCGGTGGATGGTGAGGGGGGGATGTGCGCCGAGGGTGAAGGGGGGTGGTGAGGCTGAGGGTGATGGGGTGGTGAGGCTGAAGGGGAAGGCGCAGGGCTGAGGAAGTGGTGGTGGTCGGGAGGCCGAGAGCGTAGCGGGGGTGGTGAGGCTGAGGTGGTGAAGCCGGGATGGGGTAGTGAGAGGCTGAGGGTGGCAGGCTGGAGGGTGGTGAAGCCGAAGGGGCTAGTGAGGCTTTCTGAGGGGTGGTGGGGGTGGTGAGGCTGAGGGTGAAGGGGGTGGGGGAGGCTTCGAAGGGGGTAGTGCGAGGCCGAGGGTGGTGGGGGGTGGTGGAGGCTGAAGGGGTAGTGAGGCTGAGGGTGGTGGGGGTGCAGGCCGAGGCGAAGGGGTGGAGGCTTCGAGGGTGGTGGGGGTGGTGAGGCTGGGCAGTGAGGCTGAGGGCGGTGGGGGGTGGCGGAGGGGCTGAAGGGCAGTGGGAGGCTGAGGCGGTGGGGGTAGTGAGGCTGAGGGTGCTGGGATTTGGTGAGGCTGAGGGTGGTGGGGGTGGTGAGGCCAAAGGGGGTAGTGAGGTTGAGGGTGGTGGGGATGGTGAGGCTGAGGGTGAAGGGTGGGTGGTGAGGCTGAAGGGGGATGGTGGGGCTGAGGGTGAAGGGGGGTGGTAAGGCTGGGGGTAAAAAGGGGGGGTGATAGTGAGGGGGGTGAGAGAGCCTACCTTCTCTTCCCTGTTGGTCCAGCGGGCTCTCTGGTGGTCCGGTGGCCATTGCTTCTGGTAACCATGTAATCTTGCCACGGGTTACCACGGCAACGCTCTGATTGGCCAATTCTCGCGAGACACATGGTCTGCAGCTCTGCTCACTGCGGAGCCCCCTCCTGGTGTCAGGTCAAGCCGCCGGGCCCCCCTCCTGGTGTCAGGTCCTCGGTCACTGACCGAGGACCTGACACAGTCTGCCCACAGGCGGTTTAAGCGGCCGCGAGGACCCAGCCAGCGAGAGGCCTTAGGCGTCTAAACCGCCTAATTAGAGAGCCGCCTCTGTCTGTCTGTATGTCTGTATGTATGTACGTACGTGTATGTCTGTTTATGTATGTATGTCAGTATGTGTGTGTGTATTTATGTCCATATGCGTGTTTGTGCAGTGTGCATAGGAATTTGTTAAGATTTTTTTATAGTCCGGCCTCCAATAGTGTCTGAGGGACCGTGAACTGGCCCCCTGTTTAAAAAGTTTGAGGACCCCTGCTCTATGGTGACAGTGTATGTCAAAGAAATGTTTTGGCTACACTAAGACTATATCAGCTATAAAATACTATCAAGTCATGATTTGCATGATAGATGCACTGTAATTTATGTTTTGAATTTCCAGTTATCTTAGATGACACCTTTTTTAGTTATACTAGCTCATTTGCTTTCCTGTCCACATTTTTTATTTGCTGTATCCATGCATGTTAATCAGAAACTGAAACATAATTTAGTTTAGGGATTTGAAAAGGAAACTCCAAAGTCTGTAGAGTCTAAAAAAACAGGGCATGTGCAACAACTGTTGCCAAAAGTCACACATATTTACAAGTAACTTATTTTGATTCCCCCAATTTATTAGAGAAAATACATGTTACATATGTATTACATGTTACATAGCAATACAAGCATCCCACACCATTTTCCACAAGATTTAGAGTTAAACCATTCACAGATGCTTTAAAGGACCACTATAGTGCCAGGAAAACATACTCGTTTTCCTGGCACTATAGTGCCCTGAGGGTGCCCCCACCCTCAGGGACCCCCTCCCGCCCGGCTCTGGAAGGGGAAAGGGGTAAAAACTTACCTTTCCGCGTAGCCGCCATGAGAGCCTCCTCCTCCGGACCTCCTCCTCGTTGTGCTCACGCTGACGCGCGACGCTACGTACAGCTGCGCCGCCAAGATTCAGCCGGGTCTTCATAGGAAAGCATTTACAATGTTTTCCTATGGATCGCTGGAGCGCGTTCTCACCGTGAAAATCACAGTGAGAAGCATCTAGCGGCTTAGTGGCTGTCAATGAGACAGCCACTAGAGGATTAGAAGTTAACTCCATTATAATTATAGCAGCTTCCGAAACTGCTATAATTATGAAAAAATGGGTTAACCCTAGAAGGACCTGGCACCCAGACCACTTCATTAAGCTGAAGTGGTCTGGGTGCCTAGAGTGGTCCTTTAACGTCGAAGTCTTCCAAGCAGCCCTATTTAGCTCTGCCCTTCCACAGCTCTCTGATTCTTGAAACAAGATGTTTTGGACTGTTGCGGACAGGGACGCTGCTAATGGAATAATCAGTAACTTCCCATTTGCAAAACAGCTTGAGAAAAGTGAAATAAACTGATGGAATTAATAGTAAAATTGATAACTAAAAATAATAACTTAATAGAGTGTAAATTCAGAGACCACACTCCTTGCTCAGCAATTCAATCATATTTATTATCACTGGCTTTCAAACAATACATATGCAATTGATATAAGCAAGTATATGTTGTTATTAAAACAAGTCTGTTAATCAGCCCCCGTCCCCCCACCATTACAAAAATTTGTAAATTACTATTTTTCTCAAACCCCTTTTATCCATGGAGATCTCGTGATTAGAACATCAGCTGACTTTATCCTCTGTGCCCTTGTCCAAGTTTTCCTGTTTCAAGAATCAAAGAGCAGCGGAAGGGCAGGCCCAGAGCTAAAAGGTGCTGTACCGACTCCTGGTAATACTGCCTAGTCCTGGGTGGTGGGAGCAACCATTTCCACTCCCAGTGATGATGGTTGCTTCAGGGACGAGAGACCGACTATCTCCTCTCCCTGGGGTGCTGGCTGCCGCTGGGGAGAGAGACTGGTTGTCTCTCCTCCCTTGACAACACACTGCCGCTGGGGAGTCAGACCGACTGTCTTGACTCCCAGTGATGATGGTTGCTGCAGGGACGAGGGACCGACAATCTCCTCTCCCTGGGATGTTGGTTGCTGTAGGGACGAGGGACCAATAGGTCTTCTCTCCCTGGGATGCTGGCTGCCGCTGGGGAGAGAGACCGGTTGTCTCTTCTCCCTTGTCAACACACTGCCGCTGGGGAGTCAGACCGACTGTCTCGACTCTCAGTGATGATGGTTGCTGCAGGGACGAGGGACCGGCAATCTCCTCTCCCTGGGATGCTGGGAAGAGAGACCAATTGGCCACAGCCCCAATCTCCGCAATCGGCACTCGCATTCCCATGCTGCTCGATTCTCCGCATCCAACTTGAACAGGGTTGCCAGAATCGTCTCTGTCGAAAGATTCAGGCCATATCTGGTTAACCACCTCTTGACCTCCTCCCTGTAAGCATCGCCCTCAAACTAATAGGTCATGTTTGCTGTGAATAGGGGCGCTGTACGAATACTAGCGTTGCCCTCAAATTGTAATTCCAAACGTTACCGGTGCCTATGCGCTGCTTCTCCTCGCACTAGGACGCCATCCCACCGCTGCCACCACTGTAATGGAACCGCTGGCACCCCAACTGGGTACCTTCCGCTGACGGATGCTCCTAGTGCTTTACGAGGTCTCCAAGCACTCCACCTGACACCATAACCACTGCAGACCCCATAAACCGCCGCAGCTTGGTTGGGGTCTCGCCGTCTCCACCCACTCTAGACCCAAGACCAGGGTCCAGCTTCCAGTAGGTCGACCTCTCCGAATTCCAGGAACAGGAACAAGCTCTTAGCAGAGCTTAGTGACCATACCCTGGGGAGTATAGTGATAATAGCAATCACCAGAGTGTAGTTCTCCAATCCCCCAAACATGAGCCGAAACTTCATGAAGGTACAAGATGATCTGACTCCAATGAGCGTTTATTACTCCTTATATACAAGTGTTTAGGCCAGAGACCTGGTCTTAAACTGTGACAAAAGGGACACAAACCAATGGGAACAATAATTAACATAATAACACTCCCACATACACAATGAAATCTCTCCTCTCCATCCTGGAGATAATTGGCTTAAGGCACTGCAGTACTGTAACCGCAGGTGATTCCCTTATTTACCACTATATTGTCTTAAAGCATAGAACTTAGTAGGGCTAACCATACAGATATCTTAGCCATAATTGTATATAGTTAGTAAGAGATCCTCTATTTAACATATATAAATAATTGAGAATACAATATAAAATAAGGATTGTCTTGGAAGCAATAGTTTTGTCTTTTTGGATATTTATTATATAAAATATAAATATAAAATCCATTATAGCAGAGTTTATAAGATTAAATTACATGCTTGCAAATATCATTAATAGGTTAACATACCCTTCTGAACATGTCATCATGTCATCCTCTCTGTCATTTTAAGATGGAGCAGCGTCTGTCTCCAAGTCTCTCCTCTGTATCTTAACATTTAAAAGTACACCTATTTATACCTTAGGTGTCTCCATTTTAGGTTAATGTAGTTCAAATATGAAAAAGTAACACTTCTTTTACTTATTTACAATTTAGGTCCTCCCTTAATTTGGCAAACATACAAGGCCATAACTAAAGGGTGTATACGTCATGGAAATTTTCCTGACTTAGTTCAAGATGGCATCTTAAAGTCTGAATAGGTTATCTGTTGTTTATACTAAGTTGTAAGTGTACAGTCGTGGGAGATTCCCAGATTTGGGGAAGTTCCATTAACTTGGGGTTATCACAGTATATTGTGTACTGAAAGAGTCGTAGCATAGCCTTGAAGCTTGTTTATACATTATTGTTATTGTAATTCGTCTGGGATAAAATGGCGCAAACATATTATGCACTGAAGTTATTGCTTAAAGAAACAGTTATGAAAAACAATATGTTCCATTTCTAACACCTTGTCAGTTTGCAATATCTCTTAAAGACAAAGTACACAGTTTAAGAAATACAACATTTCATTCTAAAACTTGTAATATTTGCATTTGCCCATAACACCCTCTCCATTAAACTGTGAGCATTATAGCGCATTTCTTCCTTAAATTAGTAAACCAACGTTCTCCAACAGTCTTTAGGTTTTTTTGTGCTCCCAGCATCTTTGATCATTGTTGTAACAGTAAAATATCCGTAGTGTGATCTTTGCATGTAAAGGTGGTTGATTAAAATGAGCAAAGCTTTTGTCTGGGAAAGAATTGAAATGAACACCAAGTTCCAGAGCAAGATATTCTTGGATGGATCCGGATACGAATTGTAATCCAAAGTTAAAAGTAGTAATTGTATTTGTAATCCAAAGTCTTTAAAGGCCTGTAGAAGTTTACATTCCTTAGATACATTGCTGGAGGTTGTGTTTGTAGAATACCCGGGTATTTGTTGTAGAGTATAGGTTGTAGAGTCCAGCTTTCCAAATATTTGGCTAGAATTGGTTGCAGATATTGAATCAGCATAATCTGTTATCACCGTGGTGATGGAGTTGGTATTTGTCTTTGTCTTTGCTTTTTTTATTTTGTTTTTTCATGAAACATTTTTACACTGTTTTTGATGTGTATAGATTGGATACTCTCCAATATTCTTTTACGGAATAAATTAATTGACAGCATTTCCAAGACATTGTCTTAAGTGACATGGATCCCATTATAGTAAATGTTATGTTGATACAGCAATCGAAATGGATTCTCAAGAACGCCTTTTTTTGCTGTATTGGAATCTTTGTAACACCTCTACATCTCAATGACATCAGGTGCTGTTGTGCTAAAAATATTAACAGGTAAAATATGTGGAAAAATCTTTACATTTGTTATACTTTGTATAATAATGATAGATGAAATAGTAACATAGTTAATCTTTCTAGTGTTTTGTTTTAAAGATAAACACCATTGTATATGATTTAGATATATAAGGATAATAATAATTCTTTATAATTCTTTATATAGTTAGTAAGAGATCCTCTATTTAACATATATAAATAATTGAGAATACAATATAAAATAAGGATTGTCTTGGAAGCAATAGTTTTGTCTTTTTGGATATTTATTATATAAAAATATAAATATAAAATCCATTTTAGCAGAGTTTGTAAGATTAAATTACATGCTTGCAAATATCATTAATAGGTTAACATACCCTTCTGAACATGTCATCATGTCAGCCTCTCTGTCATTTTAAGATGGGGCATCGTCTGTCTCCAAGTCTCTCCTCTGTATCTTAACATTTAAAAGTACACATATTTATACCTTAGGTGTCTCTATTTTAGGGTTGCTGTAGTTCATTTACTTTATTCATTTTAGGACCTCCCTTAATTTGGCAAACATACAAGGCCATAACTAAAGGGTGCAAACGTCATGGAAATTTTCCTGACTTAGTTCAAGATGGCATCTTAAAGTCTGAATAGGTTATCTGTTGTTTATACTAAGTCGTAAGTGTACAGTCGTGGGAGATTCCCAGATTTGGGGAAGTTCCATTAACTTGGGGTTACCACAGTATATTGTGTACTGTAAGAGCCGTAGCATAGCCTTGAAGCTTGTTTATACATTATTGTTATTGTAATTCGTCTGGGATAAAATGGCGCAAACATATTATGCACTGAAGTTATTGCTTAAAGAAACAGTTATGAAAAACAATATGTTCCATTTCTAACACCTTGTCAGTTTGCAATATCTCTTAAAGACAATGTACACAGTTTAAGAAATAAAACATTTCATTCTAAAACTTGTAATATTTGCATTTGCCCATAACAGTACACTCAATTATCTCCAGGTACAGAAAATATCTACATTTTACACTAACAGCAAAAATACATAAAAGTACATAAAAATACATAATTCTTATTATATTACACAGAACCCCCACATTTAACCTATCCCCAGATAGCTCAGATCTGAGCGCCCAATCTAGGTGAACAGCGCTCAGATCCCATGAACAGAGTAAATTTGCCATGGGGTAAAGCATAGCAAGGGCTGTTGAGAAACCAAGGAGGGACAAAAGCAGTCAGTTCCAACTGGTTTGGCAGTGTGCCTGGGACAACGCCCTGCTGGAGAACAATAGACAGGAAACGGGGGAGGGGAAGAAACACACCTTCCCATGGATTCAAATGGGCAGAAACAGTCTTTAGAAGCCAATAAGCCCCAAATAGTCTTTTTAAATGGCAATACACCCCAGGGCCATAGTCATGAGGAAGGAGGCTGGCAATCAGGCTCCTCCAACAGCTGGGGGCAAAAGGCAGCTTGTCACCTAACAATCCAGTGACAAAAGGCATTTCGTCACAATGAGCAATAACACATATAACATATATAACATATATAATAAACTGATACAGAACCTGAAGTAATACACCATATGAACGCTGCAGTCCCTGAGGAATACTGACGCTGTGGTTCCACATCAGGCAATATGCTCCACATCTGGTGTTCCTGCCCTGACATCTCCCCCTTTTGCAAATTGATACACACCGAGATTAAGGAGATTACAGGCACCGACATGCCATTACAACCACTCCCCATTCTCCTACACCAGACCAGTATGCCCCTGAAGGCATATAAAAAGTCTCTAACCAAGCACCTGCTTCCAGCCGCAAAGTCCCTGATCCCAACTTACTGTAAGCGCCCGGGTGCGCCGATCATCAAATGTACTGCTACCTGGACTCCTTGGCTAGATTACACTTCCTGGGAGGTCAGGAGAGCTAGATTCTAGTAAAAGAAAGGCTAATTCAATGGGAGAATTGTTATTAAGTTACCAGTGTTTAACTCATGTATGCAAAACATACACGAAAATTAACAGAAAAATGGTTTACTGACCACAAAAATCAAGGTCCTGCCATGACCATCCCAGTCCCATGACTTGAACCCCATAGAAAACCTGTTGGGTGAACTGAAGAGGAGCATCCACAATGCATGCGAGGTATAACACTAGAGTAATTAAAGGATAAATTTAATGCACTTGGATGAGCTAACAAGGAAAACAACTCCAGGAGACAAGCTAGCTGTGAGTCCAACTTAGAGGAAGAAAAGCAAGATTCCCTTGTGGGGTACATCAACTTTTTCGGGACAGGCGCGCTGCCTGCAGAGGATTCTGGTGCTGGGCTTTGGTTTTATCCTATGCCCTGTTGGGTACGCATAGACACCCGCCAAAAAAGTCCTGCTGTCAGGACTAGTAGCTCACATATGGCATAATACGTGGGCACAGTATGGTATTTGGCAGACTCACTGGGGTCTGCCATGATCTCTCTGACAGCTTTGGTCTCCAGTGTGGTGTGATGGGAAACACACTGCTTGTCCTGAGATAGGTTGCCGACAGCGTTGTCGGTATGGACTAATTCTGTGAGCTCTCAGTACCGGTTGTGTTGCTCAGCACTGTGGGCCCCAGGTGTGCATCCAACTTTGCCCAGAAGGATTCGAATAGTTGGTCTACGTGCTGCAGGACCTCACATTGTCCTCCATTAATATTGACTAATAACTTGTGTCACACATATATTTAACAAAGATTTTTTTTGAGGGGGAGAGGGGAGTTCAATCCGTGTTGCATTTGCAGTTGTTTGATATTCATGAGAGCAGAGTATTTTTGTGTATTTTTTAAACAAAAGATCAAAAGGTTAAACAATAGGGCTTGACAACATTAAAATAAAATTATTCGATTTAAATTAGATTTCTGATAACTTCCATCTCTTTTTTCAAGTATTAACTAGGGCTTTAGAATTTTCGAGTACCTTATTCAAACACAATAAAGCCTCAATTTAAAGGACCACATAGTTTCAGGAATATGAACATGTATTCCGAATGCTATAGTGTCCCTGACCCTAGTGGTGTTAGATCACCCCTCCCAATTCGGCATTTAGAGGGTTTTTAACTTACCTTTTTTCCAATGCCAAGGCTCATTCACCACTGCTCATAGAGGTACCTAATGCGCAAGCACGGCACGCATCATGAACACATTTATGCTTGCTCATGGGAAAGCACTATATCAATGCTTTCCTATTGGGACTGCTGCATTAATAGAGCTGTAAGCGCGCTGCCTGCATTGAACATTGCATAATTTATCTGCAAACATTCTCATAGACTTTAATGGTGACTTCTGTAGCTAAATCATTTGGAATGTTTTTCTAAGAGTACTGAATCATTCAGAAAGCTTATTAGATCAAGGTCTAAGTTAGGAATAAACCACTCATTCAGATTCTAGTTACAAAACTGATCAACAATCCCCTTAGTGCTTTGTTTTCTTGACTACTTTAGGCAGAGGAATTACAATAAAGTTTAAAACCTAATTATTGTGGTTTGTGTTTTAAGTTGTCAAATTACCTCATGACATATACACGTACACTGAAGAGACTGTGGGAAGGTCTCGGGGGAAAAGAAAATATCTTATTTTAGGGAAGGAGATATGTCAAGTGTTCAAAACTTACACAACATTTACACTTACAACACTGTTGTAGTTATTGTTTATCACAAACTTTGACCTCACTCTGCGTTACTTATCATGCCATGTTATATGCTAAATTTAAACCTGTTTTACAAGGTGTTTCCCTTTTAAACTACGACAATTAGATATTATGAGCTGGAGCTGATATTTATACATATTTACTTAACCCATTAAATGTCACTTCATGACAAACATGTTATGAAATGATGTTCCTAACTCAGTCACCTGAGCGAATTCAACTATGATTCATTAGTAAGACAATAGAATAAGGAAGGTTCAAATATTATGAAATTAGCGTATGATACGAGGTCATCTTTGCAACATTTGCATATTGCTCAAACAACAAAACTCAGTGTTTAGGTGATATAACCCTTAACCTAAAACTCCTGAGTAAGAGTGCAGCTCTACAAAATAAAGAGACACTTACCCTTCAATGCAATATGAAGGGATGATGTTAACATGGAAGTAAAAAGACATATATAGTTAAGTCTTATGTTTAAATGAATTTGGTGAAATTCCAACTCACATTTATGAGAGCCTTTTGAGATATAGGCTCTAAACAAACAGGTGTTCGTGCACTTTTCACGTGGCAACCAGACCTTATTCTCCAACTTCAGAGTGGTACTCAAGTGATGATATATGGAACCAAGGAAATAAGAAATACGACAAGATCACAGTGCAGTATGTCGGTGTTAATATATATGGCACATTTATGCTTCTCCAAATCCTTGATTTCAATACCTGCGGGTTTGTTAGAGTGCCCTTTAGAGTGTTTTACATCAGCTGACTACTAATATATTCTTAAGCGCCTGGCAATCACACTTTTAGTTTGTAATATATATTTACACATTGCTCACTAGGAGACCCTGGGTCTCATTAGCCTTAGTATTAATATAATGTTGGCGAGCCTAGGATAATTAATACCTGAGCAAGGTTTTTCTATGTTCACACTCATATAGAAAACATAATTTAGGTATTTTAGCTATCAATAGCAATAAAGAACATATATAATTATGAAATGTATATATGCACAATCACTGGTTAGTCATTTCAAAAATATATTGCTAACATTACATATACATAATGTTGTTTAGATTGAGGTGTCTGTTTACACTAAAAAAGTTAACTTTTCTTTTCAAAAATATCAGTATACAAAAAGCATTCTGAGTATGTGCAAACAACACCACTCAAGTTAAAAATCCAAAATTGTAAAAAAAAGTAAAAAAATCGATTCAACCTTACATTATATTTTATTCTGAATTAGTGTCTGTGCCAGTAGAAACAATACAGTTAATTTATAGTACTCCCATACTCTGTTTCTCCATTCAAACAGCTTCTGTAATGTAGCGTCCGCGATCTTTGAAAGCAGGCTGTAATACTGAGGACAAGAGATGAAATGAATAACAGTAAATTCATCATTAATTCACTCCTGCAAAAATCATTACTATTGCGATTGTTGAATCCTGGTTTGGATTATGACACAGGGACTTTGTGCCTAGAAAATTTATATCAAGACTCACTGGATGTGGACTGTCAGGAGGAGACCTCCATCTCTAGGTCCTCCTAATTCAGCAGGAAATAAAATGATCCTTACTCCAGTTTGTGACACACTAGACATATGCCTTTCAAAAAATTGTTTTGTCTGAATAAACTACAAATATGTCACCGACTGGAATGCAGATGGCTTTATTTTTCATTAGATACCTTGTGATTTTTCAAAGAGGCCTAGATATTTTTTTACTATTAAAGCACCATGTGCTTGTTTATTGGTCTAGGACAGTCAGCTGTCTTCAGCTCCCTGCTTGACATCTCATCAGTCATACATGGTTATAAGAGCATGGAAGTAAATAAGTTACACAGACAGGGTTAATCCCAGGCAAGTCTTGTGGGAGACAAGGCTTGCCTAGCAGAGCACACTAATTGGTTGGCTTACAAGCACTAACGTGGACAAGTTCTCTCTCCCTGTGTTCTGTGTACAATATTCAAACTTTATGATATCTTTACTTACATGATTGGAATAATACTGACAAATCCAAGGCTGCTGAACACAATGAAGCAGAACCCACTGTACCAGTCCAGCGTGGCTTGATATAATTTGTTGAATCCAGCTGAAGAACTCACTCCTACGATTTCTATTCCCAATTGAAGAACAACAAAGATTTTGCCTAGAAAGGTATTACAAAGACACTCAGATAGAAAGTGTACATCACAATCTGGAAATACAGGAGATGAAATTAGTTTGGTCAAATAGGAAAATTACCCCATTACCCTTATATGTGCCTTATATGTGGGGTTCCCCAGATTGGTATGAATCAGGCTCAGCTAACAGCCTGCTTGGGGAAGATGTAAACATTCAAAGCATGAGCACCAAGGATCCCAACCGACATACACGCACAAACATTTTAGACAGATGTTAAAAAATGCTTTCAAGAACAGAAATGCTAATGATATATTTTCTTATCAATTAACAAAATGCAAAGTGATTAAACACAGGAATAATCTAAGTGAAATAAATATTTGTTTTGACCCTTGTTTCCCTTCAAAACAGCATCAATTCTTCAAGATACACTTATACACAGTTTTGTAAGGAACTAAAAAAGTAGTTTGTTTCAAACATGTTGGATTTAGACTGCCCAGCTGGTTATGTCTCTTTATGTCGTCCTAGATCAGGGGTAGGCAACCTACGGCACTAGTGCCATGCACAGCACTCGAGGTGTCTTTGCACGGCACTCAAGGCTGCTAGAGCCAAACTCACTCTGGCCTATCAGGAGTCCCAGTAAAACTTCAGATATCTGCTAATACGAAGAGGTGGTGAAGGACAATCCTCAATTTATGCATTGCAACACATAGAGGAAGTGATCTCAGATCAGTTCCTCCCAGCACTTGTGAATGGGAATCCACACTGTAGTAGAGCTGCCATCGACAGCTATCGCAGCTCCTGTCCTTGACCTGTACCTGGCCAGCCTGGTCCCCACTGGAACCCAGGAAACCCACCCACACTGCTAGATATACACAGAGCTGCAGAATAACCCTCCCCTAATACAAATAATATGAACAGCCCACACACACACACAATCCCCACAAACGCAACACCACTAACAATCCACATACATGCACACAATCCCACATGCAGCCTCTCACATGCAATACCCTAAACAGCCCCACACATACACACACTACCAAATACACAATGTGACAAATCCATCCACACACAAGTCCACAAGCAGCCCTCATACACAGCCCACATTCATGTGTATCATACACGATACCATAAACTACTAATGAACATATACAATATAATAGCTCATATACGCACAAATACAACAATACAAAGCAATTACAGTAAAAATAACACAAGCAGACTACGGCAGCATACACACCTCAATTTAAAAAAATAGGACCGGAACGCTACGGGACATCAATCCTATATCGGCACAGTGCTGCTAAAAGGTTGCCTACCCCTGTCCTAGATAGACACCACAATGTTTAGATCAGGGCTCTGTGGGTGCCATGCCATCGCTTCCAGGACACTCTGTCCTTTTTTTATGCTAACAATAGTACTTAACTTCTTAATAAATTTAGCTGTATCTGTGGGGTTGCTGTCATGCAGCAGAACACATTTGGGGCTAATCATATTTTATTGCATTGAATATACACACTAAGGATGTGAAAATGATGGAGCTATATAATTTTAATGTATAATTTTTAGAATAAATTTTAGCTGCCAAATACACTCTGTGGGTACTCCTTTTTACCCCACCACACATAAAAGATCACCAAAAACAACAGAAAAACCTTAGATTTAGCAGGTGTTTATACCCTAAAACCTTTAGTTTTCAGGAGTGCAGCGCTATATTTAAATATGGAAATGAGTGAATTTTTTTTTTTGTATACGTATATGTATTTTGTACATATAAAGTAAAATAAAAAAGATATACAAATAATAGTGCAGTATATCGAAAAAATGTCCCAATAATTATTATGTGAGTTATAAGTTTAAATAAACTCACATTTTTTAGAGCCTTTTACAGTTGTAAGGCTCTAAACTTCCAGATGTCTGTGTCTTTTTGGGATAACATGGATGCTGTCCAGGAGGTGGGAGGGTCTGGGAGGGAGGGTCTGCTGGAGATTGGCTGGGATGTGTCAGCTGACCGGGGCTCACCGCGAACGGTTCGTGGCGAACCGCGGCGAGCCGTTCGCGGGAAGTTCGCGAACGGTTCGCGACATCACTACTCTCCACATCATACGAAAAAGACACAGATATTCCAATCTAAGTGTAGTATTTTCGATACTGATTATATCAATATAATAAAAAATGCAGAAGTGCACACCTTGTTTATAGCCTTTTGATAACTGGCTCTAAGTGTGTAGGCCTAGTGTCAGTTTATGGGGTGACACTGCCCCTCTCTGGAATCACTTGCGCAGGATACAGTTGAACTGATGAGTATAAAAACTGTATTTATTTTTTTACAGAGAAAAGTAATATAAAAAAATATGTATACAAACTATTTACTAGAAAATAAAAAAACTTTTAAAATCATATAAGAACAATACAATTGTATTTAGTGGTCTAAACATAGGTCCACTATTGCATGATGAACAATTGGCTGCCTGTACTTCTCAGCATCGAGGAGAACATTCATTCGGAACCAACTCCATTTGTAGATATGCTTCCCCAAACATGCAAGAATCCTCCACCATTGTTTACTTATGTGGACAGACATTAATTCTTGCATTACTCTCCAGTGAACAAACTGTTTTCTGCTACAGCCAGGGCCGGCCTTAGGCAATTAGGCGCCCTGTGCAAAAAGTCTTCACGGCGCCCCCCCCACCTCCCACCAAGTTGCCTGAATACAGTAACACACACAGGCACCGGGGACGTGTGTATCACGAGGCAAACAAGGCATCTGCCTTGGGCGCCACTTTGCAGGGGGCGGCAAAAAAAAGCATCCCTCCAAACCCCCAGGCAGATCCCTTGCTTGCCTCGCATCCTGGGGGCTCAAGAGCTGACCGGCTGGCCACTTTTGAGCCCCCCCAAGGCTGGCAGCGGGCAGCGAAGGAGCATACTCACCTGAGCTCTTCCTGCTCAGCTTCCTCTGCGCCGCTTAATGAAGCCGGGAGCCAGAATATGACGTCAGTCCGGCTCCCGGCATCACTAAGCGCTGCTTACTCAGCCTGTGCGCCCCCTGCCTGCCTGCCCAGCAGCCACACTGGACTGCTGGTAAGAAATCCACTCCAGCTTTCCCAGGAGGCTGGGTGGATTTAAAATAAATGTAAAAAATATTAGTTTGTGAGTGTTAGTGGAAATGTCTGTGTGTGTGTCTGTGAGTGTTTATTTTGAAGTGAATGTGTGTGTGTGTGTGTGTGTGTCTGTAAGTGTGTAATTGTGTGTGTCTGTAAGTGTGTAATTGTGTGTGTCTGTAAGTGAATGTGTGTGTGTCTGTGAGTGAATGTGTGTGTTGGTCAGTGAGTGTATATGTGTCAGTCAGTGAGTGTGTATGTGTCAGTCAGTGAGTGTGTATGTGTAGTCAGTGAGTGTGTATGTGTCGTCAGTGAGTGTGTATGTGTCGTCAGTGAGTGTGTGTCGGTCAGTGAGTGTGTAGGTCAGTGAGTGTGTAGGTCAGTGAGTGTGTATGTGTCGGTCAGTGAGTGTGTGTCGGTCAGTGAGTGTGTGTCAGTCAGTGTGTATGTGTCGGTCAGTGGAGTCGTGCATCTTTCAGTGAGTGCTTGCGTCTGTCAGTGAGAGTGTGCATCTGTCAGTGTGTGTCCAAGTAATGGTGTATGTGTGTATGTCATTGTTTGTCAGTGTATATGAGAGTGTGTGTCTGTCAGTGAGTGTGCGTCTGTCAGTGAGTGAGCGTCTGTCAGTCAAAGTGCGGCCTTGACAGGAAGGGGTGGGGGAAATTTAAACTCGGTTACAGGCATGTACACACACACTCAGTTAAAGGCAGTCACACATACAGGCACAGGCACAAACAATAGCACAGCTACAGCGACACACACAGACAGACAGTCACATAGGCAGTCACACACACAGACAGACACGCAGTAACACACACATAGACAGTTATACACACACAGGCAGGCAGTCACACAGATAGAAAGTCACACACACAGGCGGGCAGTCACACACAGACAGATAGTTACAGACAGACACACACAGGCAGGCAGGCAGTCACATACAGGCAGTCACACACACAGGCAGTCACACACACAGACAGGCAGTCACACACACAGACAGTCACACACACAGACAGTCTCACACAGACAGACAGTCTCACACACACAGGCAGTCACACACACGGGCAGTCACACAGACAGACAGTCACACAGACAGACAGTCACACACACAGGCAGTCACATACATGGGCAGTCACACAGACAGACAGTCACACACACAGACAGTCACACACAGGCAGGCAATCACACACAGAGACAGTCACACACACACACAGAGACAGAC